AGGTAAGTGTAATTTATTGCAAAAATTTAGCTGATATATATTTTTTAATCAATTTATTATTAACTTTTCTATGAAAAGCATATTTATGTGAAAAAATCAACAAGTTGAGCAGGTAACTCAGCAATGCAAATGAAGAATTAAGACATTTAAGGACAGAATTCGGCAAAGTTACTGAAGATAATAAAGCACTTATTTGTGAAAATGAGAGGTTGCAAGACAAACTTAGATGAGGCTGATGAAGACATAGAAATGAAGAATCAGATGATGATCATCAAGAAAAGCGAACTCAACACAGTAGCGATGAAAGCAATGAAGAGGGTCTTACAATAATCACGTGGCCATGGTTCGTTTAAAATCTCTTCTGAATTCTAATTAAAATAACTTTAATTCTAACCAAATTTTAATCAAATATAACCGATATCAATCAAATTAACTTAAATCGGTTTTATTTTTTTTATAACTTAGATTGAAATGAGAACGATTTTAAAAACACTGCTGAACTATCTCGAAATGAGATACGATCTTAAGTTTAGCAGTAAAGAAAATACCAAAATATTATGATAAGTAATATCACATCTTGTCAAAACTTTAAAAAGGTTCAAAATAACATACAAACAAATCAGAGATTGGCTTGGCTCGCTTCACAGGCATCAACGAGTTCAGTTATTATATAAATAACGCGATACTTTAGATCGTGATAATCGGTGATTACACAAAAACAATCATACCAGTGAGATAAATATAATTGAAATTGATTTTTTTTAAGAAAAATGAACTTCGATTAACATTTGATATTTTAATATAGAAAAGGCCAAAAGGATTAAAGGTGCCAATTCGCTTTTTAATTTAGGTGATGAGAGAGTTTTGAAATATGATAAGGAAGAGTTATTGAGAATCTTGGAAGACAATCGTTATCATTCTCCCAAAGATTCAGTGACTGATTCAGAAGAAATGGGAACACAAACAATTAATGATTATAACCCAAGCTGGAGATCAGATAAGGTTTGATATTTTTTTAGAAATTTATTTATAATTTTTGTTAAAATTTTAATTAATTCTGATATTTAATTTTATTAGTTGAGGACATTATTGTGAGAGGTTGACCGTCATGCGTTCTTGCTGCAAACCATGTAATTAACGAGAACTCGACATTATAGCGACGATTTTATGATACATATTCGACACTCTCAAAATGCTCCTGACTGAATATTTGTAGATCAAAATACTCCAGCAGACACTGATTTTTCGACATCAGTAACTGAAGTTGAAGTGAAGAAGATGATATTGAAGAAGAAGAATAAATTCAGCATATCATAATTTATAATGAATTTTATTTGATTTTTAGTTTATTTTATATATATTTGTATTATTATATTTTATAATTATATTTTATTATATATTTTATTATATATTTTAAATTAATAAACCATTTGTTATTAATTCAATTAAATTACGTTATTATAAAATAAATAAATTGTCAAAAAATATGAAAATAAATATAATAAGATCGCCTAAATGTCAGAAATTTTATTTTGCCGATTTTGTGATTATTTATAGCTGAAATATTGCTGAACTTTTATTAACAAGTCGAATTTTGTTTGTTTTGTTAGTTGAACGAATTTAAGTTGATTTTATCAAACATATAGCTGAAATATTCCAAACTTTTTATTAATAAGTCGAATTTTATTTGTTTTGTTAGTTGAACGAATTTAAGCTGATTTTATCAAACATATAGCTGAAATATTACCAAACTTTTTATTAACAAGTCAAATTTTGTTTGTTTTGTTAATTGAATGAATTTAAGTATAGTTTATCAAACATATAAAATAACTATTAATCGTTAATGTCGAATGATTTTGTGTGGCATGGAAATGGGCAACTTCAGTTATAACTAAAAATGCTGATTGTTTTGGCAATGATTGGCAGAAATTAAACTATATTTTGGCCAACATTCGGCACTTTTAAAAAGTGACAAAATGGATTATTTCGACTAGTGTGGACTAGTGTAGCTTCAAACAAAAAATTTATAAAAAACAAAAACTTTAAATTTTTCACTTTTTATTATTTTTTCTTTATTAAATATATACAAATAAACTTTTAAAAACTTAATTTTATTCCCTTTAAACAAAAATGAATACAAATACTTTAGAAAATTTTCGTGGAATATTTTTCCAAGATACCCAAAAATTTTTAAAAACTCTATCATTTGTCACTTCTCACCTTGCTGAAAGAGAATTAAAATTGCTAAATATCTTAGCTTTCAAACACCTGAAATCTTTTGGCTCATTAGAAAATTAAATTTTGAATATAACAAACTTTTTTCTGACAAAATAGAACTTTCACAAAACTTCATAGAACAACTAGCGCGTTCTAATGCTTTTACTATATATGAAACTGGAACAGAAGATTTCTCTGTAAACAACACAAAAAATCTTATTAATAATACTATTAACAATATTGTCGATAATGATGATATCATTTCTATTGCTAACTCTATCTCACCTGATATGGATATTTTGGATGATGATGATATGGATTCTTCTATTGATTAATTACATAATAAACTTCCTTTATCTTTTGCTAATTCTTTACCAAGGCCTTCAACTACTATGAAAACAAACATGTCACATAAACAATAATCACGTAAATAACAAATTATACAAAAAAGTGACGTGTCTGTTATTAATAACAATCTTAACACGTCTTCACTTAATAACAATAATAATACGTCACACAACATAAATAATAATAACGCGTCTGTCACATCAGTTATTAGTCAAGGTACACGTGATTTCTCCCTTGATGATGAAAGTCACATGACTTTAATCCTCAAAGAACCAGCTGTAGACTCTTGACACAATTATCATAGAAATGGTTTGAATAATATTAAACCTCAATTATATTCCCAAGATCTTTGTCACCACATAAACAAGCCTAAAATCTCTCGTATTTCTCCTACAAAATTTGTCAAGGCATCCGTAATGGTTATGCTTGCACCAGGAGATACTAGATACGAGAAATTAGAACTGATGAATTTGTTGTTAGCTCCTCTCCCAGGATTTGTTGACTTAGATTGGGAATTCCTTAATGGTAATTCTCATATAGTATTTTGTTTTAATAAATGAAAACTTTTATTAGAAGCTATAGATAAGGCTTTAGAACAATACCCACACTCTCACTTTAATATAATTGATAATCATCCAGTCAAAAAGTTTGAATCTCCTACCCCCATTTACAAACTTAAAGAAGTTCCATTTTTGATTGGTCTCGATGATATCAAACGTGCTATCACATACTATAGAAATATTGCATTTCTTGATGAAAAACATAATTATAGAAATCCTTCCAATAGAGATGTCATTATTACTTTTTCTAAACTTCGCAAACCCCAATAATTAAAAGAATTCTGGGCAGTTAACATCTCTAAATATTGTATTATATGTGCTCATATTGATACACCTATTGACGAACTTAAACTCTGAAACTAATTTGTGGCTGGTTTTAAAGGATTCAAAGAATACGCTACAGCATCTGAAGCTATGAGAACCATGTGACCTTATAATGGAAGAACTTGCTACTTTCATGGTCGTATTGCTTATTTTGCCTTTGCTACTGAGGAAAATATGCTTAATACATGTAACATTAGAATATCACATAATGAATATCTTCTGGATGGTAGACCTCGTAAGCTTAGTAGATCCCATACACCACAACATACCTCCTCATCAATCACAATACAACCAAAAACTTCCTCTTTTAATAATTCATCATCTGGAATTTAAATGCGGCGTAATATTCTGTAGATTTACGATTTTTGTAATATTTTAGAGTATTACGTTGTAAAACTACGTAAGTTTACGAGTTCGTAAGATTTACGAAACATTACGGTGAAATCCTACGTAG